GTAATGTGTAATAGTTACTTATATTAAAATGAACGTTTTTATAATCTGAATTATTTATTACTTATCTGTTTTATCACCTATTTTACTAAGGTATTTAGCTTCATTATACATTTGACATACTATAAATGGTTTCTGAATTAATTTTAAAAGCTAAAAAAAACCATTGAAGAAATGATAAGATGCTACTTCTTTTAGAGAGTAAAAAGATGTTGACAGTTACTTCTAAGAATAGTTGCACACATAGGTATTAATGATTAATAAACTATTCTTATAACTTATCTTACTGACCCAGTAAAAAAAAAAAAAAAAAAAAAAGTTATATCTTAAAAGCAAAAGAAGTATGGCTGTAATTCTCTATATGAAAAATTTCCTGCTAGAAAATGTAAGTAGTAGAAGAGAAGTTTTATGATGTGAGAAGTAATGCTGAAGTTTTATTTCCTTCCAACAATTAGGTATTTTATGATGTAGAATTTTAAATATGACTATAATTTTGAACCTTTAATTCTAGCTTATAATGCATATGTATCCAATACAATTATTTAAGAGTAATAATAAATACTTTCAATGTACATCAAAATTTTGCTGGTATCTAATGATAAATTCTTTAAAATTATAAAATGGGGATAATTACTACAATAAAATTAAAACCTCTGAGTTTCCATGGCATTCATGACCTTTACCTGCCTTTCCAATTTTATTTCTCACTGCTTTACTCTGTGTATGGTTAATTCTCAATTATCTGGTGGTGAATTAATTCATTTTGGATGAATTGTGATTCAAGCACGGCAGAGACTAGGTACTGATTCATCTTTCATGCCAATTTGTAGTTAGAATTGGTCATTAATGATTTTTCTGGACCAGCTTCTCTGGTTGAAAGGGGAAGAGAAAGACTTAGAGCACTGCGGGATCCATCCTTGCCAGGTTTTTTTTAAGCTTGGCTTCTCTTCTTTCTCCTAGAGTGTCCAATAATGACTAAGGTCATATCATGAGTTGATTGCAGTTTTTTTTTAAGTATGATTTTCACATGACCTGATTCCTGACCTCCATTTTGCCATTCATTTTTTTTGAGAGCTGACTACTGTTCCTTTGTTACCCAATGTATTTTGCTTCTTTGTTTTTACTCATACTTTACCCTACTTGAATGCCCTTCTTGTCCTTTTGAAATCCTAATCGTCTTTTGTTCCCTTTTGAGAATTAGTCATGCATTTATCTCATGACCTTTACAGTATATATTTTATTTTTTAAATCTATGTTAGTGATTATTTAATTATCCTTTCTACCAAAGTATATATTTGATGATAGTGACCATCTTTGTTTACCATAGCAGTCTTGTATAGTGTACACAGTATAGATATTTAATAAAGTAGTGAATTAGAGACAAAATAAATGGCTACTAAAGAAAGCCTCTATTTGTTTTGCTATTAATGTTTTACCTTTTAAAATAGTAGAAAAATATAAATGCTCTTATGAGCTTCAGCTAAACTGAGGTGAAGTACATTTAAGGTATGTCTTCTGGTATTTCATATAGTGACACTTATACCAAGGAATATCTTTTACCTGTTTTTCAAAATATATAAATCTTTGGAATCACATTTATAAATGTGTTATATAAAGCACTTTACTTCTGTTCAAAGTGTATGTTTTATTGCATTCTGAATTTCATTAAAATATACACTTAATATTGTTAGAAGTAAAGAATGATTTTTTTTCTTATCAGCAAACTGTCATTGTTGTTGAGTGCCGTCAAGTTGATCCCGACCCATAGCAGCCCTGTATAGGGTTTCCAAGGAGTGACTTGTGAGATTAAACCATTCACCTTGAGATTCAAATGGCTATGCAGTCCAGCTCATTAACCCACAGTGCCACATAGTGTCATAGAATTTCATTGCTTGTGAATGTACTGAATGGAGACCTAATTGTCTGGAAAATTTATCACTACCACCATTTTTTTTTTTTTTTTTTTCAGAAACAGTTGGGTGAGATGAAACTACAACTTGAAAATGTCATCAGAGAAAATGAAAGGTAGATCAATTAGCTGTTAGTTCTTTGTTATTATCTTGTTGTTACGTGGTCTGGTTGAGTCAGTTCCAACTCATAGCATCCTAAAACACTGCACGATCCTCTGCCATCCTTAACAATTATTGTTATGTTTGAGCCCATTGTTGCAAACACTGTGTCATTCCATCTCGTTGAGGTTCTTGCTGGTTTTCTCTGATCCTGTACTTTACCAAGCATGATATATCTTTCTACAGGGGACTGTGTCACCTGTAAACATGTCCAAAATACATGAGACATAGTCTCACCATTCTCACTTCTAAGGAGCGTTTTCACTGTACTTCTTCTAAGACAGATTTATTCATTCATCTGGCAGTTCATGGCATAGTCAGTATTCTTTGCTCACACCATAATTCAAAGACATCTTCTTTGGTCTTCCTTATTCATTCTTATCTTTGTTGTTGTTGTTGTTGTGTGCCGTGGAGTCAGTTCTGACTCATAGTCA